TGGGAGTGAGATGCTGGTGTTAGCATGCACTGCTGCTGAGACAACTGACAGCTGCCAGAAGGCTTTTTTGTTTCCAGCCCTTTGAGAAGAGTGAGGAGACAGTTTGCACCTTGTACATCTCTCTCAATCAGCCCAGCTGCTGAAGTCATTCTGTGCACATATTGAAGTTTTCCTGTACATTCCTGGTGACCAGAAAATGAGTTTTTTCCACAAAGAAAAGTACAACCGTGAAGCAGAATTTGAAGAGAAGAACAAGCATATTGTTTCTCAGCCTAGATGTTTTGCAAAATATGTGCAATTCTCCTCATTTCCAAGCTTCCTAAATTCAAGTCCAGCCCCCCTAACTACTCCTTTCAGTCCTGTCTTGGTTCAGAGCAAATTTGGGAGAGAATCTTTAAAATCTTCTTCTCTCCTTCCTTCACTCTCTGGAACGTGTCTTAAAGGTGCAAAACTTATTATTCAGCATAAACAGAACGAGACTATTGGGAATAAAAGCATCATATAGTCAACTCAGGACAAGTCCCCACGCAGCAGGTGGTTTCCAGTGCAATTGTACTTTTGTGCCTATTACACATAAGCAGGGCTCTGCAAAATTTGGCCAGTCAATGCTTCTTCCAAGAAAGCTCTCTCCCAAGCTGTTAAATGCTATGCTCTGGATTTATTGTTTAAACATAAATAAAACACAGCACAGAGCAAATATCCGGGGGGAAGCTCTAAAGGGGCACAAGCTTGGTTTCTCCATTTACCTCTGCAGGTTCTCAAAGCAGGGGAGGGACAGCAAATCACACACTGCCCACTTTTCACAGGTGTGCCCAAACATTCCATCAAACACTGCCTCCTGCCCAGGGTGCAGTCTGTACTCTCAGCTTTCCAGGGCAGGAGACACCTTTCCCATCCAAGCCCCCTGGCTGGCTGATGGACAACTGTGGTGCAATCAGACCTCCACGGGATCATCAGGGCTCAGACTGCACCAGATGCTTGGAAACAGCTACAGAGGCACTGCCTGGAGAGCTCAAAGAGAAATATATTGATGTCCAGCATATAAAATTGCCCTTCCTACTCACTGCTGTGTCCCACTCCATCTGCCACATTTCTAAAGGCCTGATTTATTCTCCCAACAGCAAAGGCTGGTTTGAAGGTGTCAGTGAAAGGAAGTGCTCAAATTGCTGGAAAGGATGTTTCTAAGCATTTTTTTAGAAACACCACTCTCCAGGGATCTCCAGGTCTCTGCCAAGAACATGCATTGGAGAGCCAGAGAATGTTCAGGGAGCGCATGCTCAAGCCTGCTGCAGCAAGGAGCAAAGGCAGATGGATGGCAAGCAGAGGTGACAACCCATCTGCTTCTGCAGGACCTCTCTGGCATCTCCTGAGGGACTCGAGGAACACCATGACCAGAGATAACCAGCCAAAGCAGACTCACTGGTTATCCCAGCATCATCTGAGACCAAAGCACTCCACTGAGGAGATGCTCCAAAGAGGGACAAGAAAGGGTGGTAGGACAGCTCCTCGGAGATGAACATGCTTTGGCTGGGCTGAGCGTTGTCCTGACCTCTTGTCTCTTACAGGGAATACAAGGCAGAATTTTTCCAAGCAAAAAGTGCCTGAGGCTTTGTGTCCCCCTCCCCTAAACTGTGCAGCAGTTCAGATGTCTTTTTTTCACAAGGCGCAGCGCAGAGAATTGGCCTGCACCGTTCTGTCCTGTGCTCAGGGCTCCACAGCCCACTAACCCCATTCTTTGCCAGGAGGAATTGCCTTTGTGCTCTTCACATGCAGACAATACCCAGAAACCTCCTCCAGCAACTGCAGAGGGATGCAGGCTGCTGTCGGGGAGAGCTGTGGGTGGGCATGAATGAATGAGGGAATGAATGAGCCGCTCCCTACTACTGGCATGAGAATCTCCATGATTTGGAGAGGAGGAACCCGTGCTGTAAGCAGGCCTGCAGTGGCAGGTGCTCAGTTGCATGGCTGCAGTGGCAGGTGCTCAGTTGCAAGCATGGCTGCAGTGGCAGGTGTTCTCCTGCATGGCTGCAAGGAGTGACAGGCAGGTAGAGGTGGCTGGAGCAAGCAGCTGCCTCTCCCAGCCCAGAGCAGGCTGCAGTCTGGAGTGCTGAAGCACAGATGTGCCCCCACAGTGACAGAACTTGCTGTGTCAGGACGTGAGCAGTCCTGTTGGGTTTTTGCCTGGAGCACCAGGCAGAGCGCAGGAGCGTTTGCTCAGCTCACCCAGCAGATCTCACAGCCCATGCAGAGCTCCATTCTGCCACAGCCACCACTCCAGCTAGCTTGGCTGAGAAAGAGCAGGGTGAAGCATGGCCACTGCAGTGGGGAGCAGTCCTGGAACACAGCACCTCCTCTCAGCTACTGGGCTCACTGTCTCTCCCACTCCCTGACTTCCACTCTTTCCTTCAAAGCCCATCTCCGCCTTTCTCTTGGAGACTGTAAGAAATGAAGATCTAAATGTGCCTGGAAAGGGGTGTGTGAGGGACCAGGGAGTGGGACACATCTCCAGGCCTCCCAGCCTGATGTTCTTCCTATCCAGTCACTTTTGAAGCAGCCAGATCAAAGCTGCTCCCATGTTCAGATGGGATAGTGCTGCTTTGCCTTTTCTGTCCCAGTGCCATTAGGGCTGGGTGGGTACAAAGGGTCCTGGACTAATGAGCATCACCACCAACACTGACCAACTCCTTGTTTTCTCCAGCTCCCCTGGAATGTCACAAAAATCCCTCAGCTGAAGCAGCCTTTCTGAGAGGCTCACAGGAGGCACTGGAGACAGGAGCACCACTGCAAGCTGCAGAGAGAGGTGAGTTTGGAGGAGAGCCTGGCTCTTCAGAGGGCAGCTCACCAGTGCATGCCATCAGCACAGCCCTGGTGATCCAGAGGAACTGGGTACTGCATTCACTGAAAGAGCTGGGAAGTAGGTCAGCAACATTACTGAGGGAATTAGGGAGTTTTAGGGAGAACTCCATGACTAAATTTTGTGTTCCACTGCTTACTGGTGCAGTGATTGGATTTCAGTGTGCAGGGTGAAATGCACCAGCAGGGACTGTGTTTGCTGCACCCATGCCAATTTCTGCTGTTCACATTATCCTTTTGCCATGCCAGCTTGGGCAGTGCATCCTGCAGCCCCTGCCAAACCAAATGCCACTGATCCACATCCACTGCCCTGCTCAGCTCCTGAGCCCTGCACAGCACTGGCCATGCTGCACACATTTAGCTGGGCTCATTTTATATCAGTGGCCCTGCTGGGAGAATTGAGTACCATCAATGTACCACACATGGCCAGATGCAAACTTATCTCTCCTCTAAAGAGTTTTAAATCAAAAGAGGTGAGGCAGAAAATCAGAGTTAGCTATTTGACACAAAATTCTGTTTTTTTCTAAACCAAATTCTTATATGGAAATGCCTTTCATTCCATATACAGGCAATCTCACCTCTTAGAGTGAGACCAAAACTAAATAACACCCATAACTGCTGCAACACTAATTATAAGTAACTGGTTTGTTGGTTGGCAAGCTCATCACAAAGTGCTTCACACAGGAGTTTTGTGACAGTGTCCATGTCCTACTCCTCATGTTGAACAGAGAAATTTAGTTTTCCGACTCTGCTGAAAGACACAGTGGTGCAAAAATCTTTAAAAAAATTCTTTTTTTTGAAAGCAAGTAAGAAAAGCACAAATGAAATTGAGAGGTAAAATTCTGGGTTGCTGTGCAAGAGGGTGCAGGAGCTAGAACAATGTCTCTGCTTGCCCACAGTTCTTGCTGCACCTGGGGATCTGGGCACAGAGGGTTCATCAAGGTCGCTGGGAACTTGAACACCAGTGTGTGAGCTATTAGCTCTGGTCCTATTTTAAGTTCCCAAAGTCACAGAGTTTTGCCTGGAGGGTGGGACAATGGGTTCATCTGCTCCTTGCTGGAGCCAGCGAAGGGTGGAGGAGTCATTCAGGCATGGTGAAAGGGGAATTGCCCACAGGAAGGACACGTTGGTCAGCCTGAGGTGCGGCAAGTCCTGCTGTGCCAGGCTGCTGCCTTCCTGCAGAACCCTCCTGTGGGGACAGGGGACTCCGTGGGCTCAGGGGCTGAGCCAGCTGCCAGGAGGGTCCCAGCTGACCCATATGCTCCTTGCCTGTCACCCCATGTCCCCTGCTGACCCTGGCCAAAGCTCTGAGGATGTGAGAAGGGGGTGAACGTCAACCCAGGGCCCCTTGGGATGCTCCTGACCTCCCGCCTCCCCACAGCTGCCATGGGCAACACTGTGGGGCACGGGGACAGACACAGCAAGGCACTGCTTGTACACACACAGGCGTGCGCACACACACAGACACGGGCACACAGAGACACAGATACATACAGACACACAGACACAGACACACACACACACACACACACACACACGTTTCCCTTCTCTCCATCCTCCCCAGGGCTCTCTCCCTCCTGAAGGGTGCAGATGGGTTCAGGATGGCCCTGGCAGGCTGCAGGTCGGCCGGGGGATGCGGGCAGGAGCTGACCGACCAGGGTGGGGTGGGCTGTGCTGGAGGCAGGCAGGGCATGGACGGGGACTGTCCCGGGCAGGACGGGCAGGGCTAGGGGCAGGCAGGGCAGGGCTGGGGACTGCCCCAAGCAGGGAGGGCAGGGCTGCTGGGGGTGGGTCCGCAACCAGCCCTCCCTTTCAAAGTCCCTCGATCGGAGGAGGAATTCGGGAAATACTTCCAGCAGCGGGAGGACGAGGAGGAGCGCTGGGGCTGCTGCCCGGGGGCGGCAGGGCCGGGGCCGAGGGATGCGGAGGGAGGGGAGGCAGCCTGCGGGGCGGGCCGGCTGAGCGCATCCCCGGGCGCGCCCGGCCGCGTGTGTGCGCGCGCGCTCCCTCCATCCATCCCTCCATCCCTCCCTTCCTTCCTCCCTCCCTTCTCCCTCCCTCCCTCCCTCCCTCTCTCTCTCTGCCTCCCGCCCGCCGCCGCAGCCGCGCACGGGGGCTCCGCCGCCCGCCCCGCCGCGATGCCCCGCCGCTGCTGAGCCGCCGCCCGCTGCCGCTGCCCGCCAGGTAGGACCGAGGACCGAGCGAGAGAGAGAGCGGCCGGCCCCCGCCCCGACCCTGCCCAGCCCCACGCTGCTGCCCAGAGCGCGATCCCAGCGCCGGCGGGGGCTGCCGGGGGGCGGCACGGGGCACCGGGGCCGTGCGGGAGCGATGGGGAGGCGGGGATGGGATGCTCGCACTCGGCACACACACACCGGGAACGCTCCCTACAACCCCGCCGCGGCACCTCCGGGCGGGCGGAGGGGCTCGCTGCCCTCCCCCGGCGGCCAATCGCGACATGTCGCGACGGGAGGCGCGGCTGCGGCGGGGGTCGGTTCCCCGCTAGCCCGGGAGCCGGGCATCGCCGGGCATCGGCGGGCATCGCCGGGCAGGTGGGGTCGGGCAGGGTTGAGCTGATCCCGCTCCCGGGGGGCTCGGGGCGCATCCCCGTGCGCGGCGGGGCGCGGTGCCTCCGCCTGGCGGGGCTGTGCGTGCCGCCGGGCAGCGCTGCTCCCCCTGCCTCGAAACGCTGCCCGAGGGGAGTGCTCGGCGGCACCTGCAGCCACGCCGAAATTCCCCTTTTCCTCTCGAGCGGCGTGCGGTGTTAAGGGCTGGCATTAAGCAGCGCTCATCACGTAGGCTTTGTCTAGGTGGAAGCATGGCTGGGGCTCTTCCGTCATCTTGAGTTTAATTCTTTATTCACAGCCTTGTTGCTTCCCTCCCCGCCGAGCCATGCAAAACAACTCCACACTCTGCTCTGTCTCCAAGGCGAGAGCAAACTGCCAAAATGTTGCAGAAATGCAGCAAGCACTAGGGAGGACTGGAGTCTGAAAATGAAAGCTGTAGTAAAATCACAAGGTCACGGGTGTGAGGGTGCGAGCGTGTGCTCTCAGGGCTCCTTTTCGCCTGCGCTTTGCAGGAACCTGTTCATTCCTCCAGTCCCAGATGTTGCAAATCCGCAAGTCAGGCAACTGAAATGAAGGCTGAGAGGGGCTGGGGTTCTCTGTGTGCTCGCCTGGTACCTGCCTGGTAATTCACGTGCTGTTTGTCACCATCGCAAAGGGAAGGGGTGTGCTTTTGTTTAGAAAAGGGAAGCTGGGACACTTGCGTATTGATGTGATGGTGGCATCCGGGAAAAAATGAGCTGTGACATATGGCTTTGGTTGGGGACGTGGCTATCATCAAAGAAAGGCATTTGTGGTCCTTAGGGAGTGTCTATCAGCTGTTCCTTTCTCCCCTTTTCCTTCTGATTGGTTTTGCAATAGCAGCTTTGCCCCTTGTCCAGCGCAGACATTAAGGCCAAATAGGGAAATAATGTGACATTTCTAGGAGCATCACCTGCCAGCCAAGCCATGAGCCCCACCACCAGCTCCCAGGAAAGCTGTCTGGCTCCACTCACACCCCCACCAGCTCACCTCACCAGCTGACACGGACAATTCCTCAGTCAGTGCTGAGGAGCCGCATTGGTCAAAGGTTCCTCTCTTTGCATTCCAGATGCCTGAGGAGGTTGGACACACTCCCTGTGTCCAGCACCCCTGAGTGTCAGCAGCAGCACAGTTCTAACCTGATGAAACTTTGCTTGCTTCTCCTTCCCTCACTTTCTGTAAGGTTTTTGTAATCTACTGGCTGTGAATAGCTCCTGAAACTTAAATGTACACTGTCCTATACCTGCCCAGGCTGCACCTGGTCTTCTCACCTGGCACTGCTGCACATGACATGGCACAAACTTGGGTTTATGTCCTCGCTCTTGGGAGTCTCTACAGCACCTAAAATGATGCTGTATAGGCACAGACACTTCTCTGCCTTTTGTAGTACCCTGATATGCTCATGGCGCTCAGGGTTGTGATTTTCAGGTGTTACATCTGGGACAGAATTTGGGTTTTTGCTGTGGCTTTGAGGAGACACAGTCCTGATTGCTCACTGGGATAAAGAAGCCCCTGTTCTCCAGCATCCTAATGAAAGATCCTGTAAAAAAGCCCAGTGCCCTGCAAGATACAAGCTTCACTGGGCAATCAACCAACAGGCTGGTCATAGATACCACAAGTGACAGGGGCTCTCCTTGTGACTGGCACGGGGAACAACCTGGAGCTCTGTCCAAGCTCAGAGTGCTGGGATCTGCTCCCAGCTCCTGGCCATCAGCGCACACAGCTGTGCAAATCCTGGCTGCACCTGGGGCTGCTGCAGGCTGCTGTGCTCTGGCATCCACTGTGGGCTGAGCTCCTGGCTGGGCTTTCCCTTGCCAAGGGTGTGAGTGGGATCTCTCCAGCTGCTTTCAGGAACCTTGGAGGAACTTGGCTTTTTCTGTTATCTCTATCCCTCTGGTGATTTCAACTGAAATTGGAAAGAGGGGGGGAGCCATGTGAACAGACAGACAGACATGGAAACTGTGATTTCATGTGCCTGGCTTCCTAAGGAAACCTGGCTACAAATAGAAGTGAGATTTGGTGCTGTAAAGAGCTCCTGAGGAGACAGAGAAGGCGGGGGAGTCTGAGGAGAAGGAAGGGTGGCTAACCTCGTGTGTGAGGTAGGTAAAGCAGGGCTGGCACACACCTGGGCCAAGAATCTCCTGCCTGATGTCTGGGGGTCTAAAAGCTGTCCCTCTGCTCGGCACTAGCATCCAGCTCCCTCTAGAGTCAGCCGTGCCAGAGCTGTGCCTCTGGACGTGGCTCTGCTGGGAGGTGCCACCACCCTTCCCCAGGCAGGAGCAGCCACACAGATGGATGGAGCGTGCCAGGGTGAGCCCCAGCCCAGCCCAGCCTGCCCAGCTCCCGCCTGGCACCGTGCCTGAATTGCTCAGGTCAACAGCCTGCATCTCCATGGGTCTTCCCCCACAGCCATCCCCATGGACATCTCCATCTCTTCATCCCTGGATGTTCACAGGGAGCTGGGGATGGGGATTTATCTCCTCTCCCTTGAAGCTTTCTGTTCCCGCTGCACAGAAGACCCAGACACAGCTACAAACCCAGTGCAAAAGCAGTCCCAGAGGGAAGAGAGGACACAGGCATAGGGAAAAGCAATAGGCCTGTTAATTCCTCCCTTCTGGCCTCTTTGGGGCACCTCTGGGCAGATACTTCCTCCCCAGGCTGCCCAAGAGCCTCAGGCTTATTAGCAGTGTTTTACTCTCCCAGCACTCACGGGAGATGCTCTACCCATGTTACACAGAGCCATGGAGCACAGGGAGATGCTGGGCTGCCCTGAGATCACACAGGGAGTCTGCCAGCCAGGCAGCCTCGGGGCCAGCTCATGGAGAACGGGCAGACTGTGCTGAAATCAGCAAGGGAGATGCACAGGCACAGAGGAAGGCATCAGCAACCCAAGAGGAATCACAGGGAAGAGCCTGATGCTGCTTGATAAAGAAGAGACCAAAGGCAGGTGGTAAGGGTAAAGAAATGGTCTGAAGACAGCAGCAAGTAGGAAGACAGTTGTTTGAGAAGCAGACACACAAACAAACAAACAAAAAAAAAACAGTCCCAGAGAAATGTGGCATTTCCCCCTTGCTTCTTATTTCCTGGCTTATTCCTTGCTGAGATCTTGAGTCGTGGGAGAAAGGGACAACTTGACACTTGGTCTCCATGTGTGAAAAGCAAGACTGCAATCTCCCTGACAAACGGTTCCAAACTCATTTTCTGCAAGCTGCCCCCAAATTCATCCAATGCGGTTGAAATTTTCTATCAGGGATGTTTTATTTTCTCTGTTTGTCCGTTTATTTTGGAGAGTTGCTGGGGGAATTGTGGAAGGAGATTGGATGTTTCATTGAAGAGATAGGATACTTGGAAAAATCAGTTGCAGACTGATAATTATTCTTACTTTTTAATGTCCTTTACAGAAACCAGGGTGGCCTGATGTGTGTTTTACTTGATCGGCTTCATGGAGGGCTTGTGCCTCTGACTATATTTGGAAAGGTTTTGATGTTTTTTTGTACTGATGCAATCAGGATGCTGATGGCCTGGAAATCATTTTCCTGATGTGGAGATCTCCAGGGTCATGGGTGGGGGATGCCAACAGGCTGTGCCTGTTTTGGAGTGGCAGAGCTGGGTGAAAGGGAGCAGGAGCCAGGCAGAGCCAGAGCAGGGAAGCGAGCCAAGGGTTTTCCAAGCAGTGTTTAAAGCGCCGTCACGCTATGCAGCCCGGAGTGGCAGCACAGCCTTTGGACTCAGCAGCTCTCTGGCACGGGTTGGATGTGCCGGTGCAGCAGAAGGGTCCTTTTCCTGCCCTGGTGGTTGAATCTCACAGCTGTCAGCAGCTCAGTTTTACCAAAGCTGCGCCACGGGGTCAGCAGCGAGATCAGAAGCGAAGCCAGCGGAGCCTGTGTCGGCCCAGACAGATCTCCAAGCACCCTGCACCTCCTTGCAGGGCTCTTGGCATCCCTTTTGTGTCCCTTGGCTGCAGGAAGCTGGACCTGTGATGGTCACAGACCAGATGGTTGTTTGGGTTTGTTTTTTTCCCTACAGCCATGTCTTTTTCCAGAGCAGGCTCTGCCCAAGCTGTCTGCTGGAGAGCAGGCTGCTGATTCCAGTGAGGCTGCACAGGTATACAGGCTTGGGCACAGCCAGGCAGGGCCAGCAGCAGAGGAGAAGTTGACTGTTCCTCCAGAGATGGGGCCATGGCTGTAAAAGTGCCCTGCATGGAGGCAAGGCATGCAGTGCTTCTTCCCAGGAAGATTGCAGTAGGTTCCTCTTCTCCTGCAAGAGAAACTGGGGGAGAGGTGCTGTAACCTGGGGACTTCAGGTTTGACAGAGAATCTGTCTTTTTGGGGCTTGCTGTCTTTTCCCCTGGGACAGGGTGGGGAGCAGCTGAGCTGCTTTGAGCCTCTGTTCTCTGTCGTGCAGGCTGGCTGTTCCTTGCAGTGACCACTAGCTGCATCTTTGTCAGTTTTTGGCCCCTCTGATTGAAGGGACACCGTCTTTCTCCAGCCTGTAACACCAGAAAAGGGTGGCTTGAGCTGCCTTCCCTGCTTTTCCCTATCACACTCTTGCTAGGAAAAGGTCCTCTCTTGCCTAGCTCTGACTGCAGGATGGGAAAAGACTCTTTGGGAATCCCCGTGGTGTTGCAACACGCTCCTGGTTGTGCTCCCACAAAGCAGCCGCTCTCACATGAGGAACAAACTTCTACTGGTCCCAGCAAGCAACCAGGCACCCTGTGGGGAGAGGGTGCTGCTCCAGCCTCCTGCATGCTGGTGACACAGCTGTGGGGACACCTCCCATCCCAGCTGGCAGCGAATTGGCAGGAATGATGCTCATGATGAAGATGATGGTGTCGCAGTGGGGTGGGCACCGTTGGGGGCTGTAATGGTGTGAACACTGCTGTGAGCCAGCTGCTCTGTGCACGTTTCCTGTGGGATGCTGGGAGAAAATTTCCATGTGGAAAACCTCTTTCTTTGTGTAGCCACTCATTCCTCCTGAGCCCAAGCCATTTCCTTCCTTGCCCAGTCCTTCTGTAATTAAAGTGTCTGGACCAGCAGTGGTTTTTTAGTGCTCTTAAAAATAATGGTACTTCCAGTGTGTTGCAAATGGTCATAGACCCGAGTGTGATTCAAAGCTTTAGGAAAATAACAGGGTGGGTCTTACAGTGGGTATTTCAAAGCTGAAGTGCCTCGATGGAGTTGGGACTTTTGGGAGGCTGCTGCAAAGAAAAAGCTGTGCTTTGTTGAAATGCAGAGCAGCTTTCAGGCTGTCTTTGCATGCGGCAGCCAGTCAGCCTGAAGGATCGATGCTGCCAGGGAAAGATCAGAGCAGAGTCTAAAAGGCTGTTTCCTCCCCATCTGGCAGCTCCTCAGCTGGGGGGCAGGAGCATGAGCTGGCAGCAGGAGCTCTCTCCTACCAATTTGTAAAACCTAGAGCTCCTATGTCCAGCAGGAAGGCAAATATCTCTACAACCCTCCCAGCCCTGCTGTGGGCAGCAGCTGCCCTCCTGGTGTTTGACAGCACCAAGGGGTGGGAGAAAGGTTGCCCTGAAAACCCTTGGCCAGGACCTCCATGTAAATTGAGCTTGTTCTGGAGCCTCTCCCAGGCTTTCCTCCCTGGCTGTGCAGAAACACCTGCTGGCACCCCTGTGGAGCTGGTCTGGAAAGGGAAAGGGGCTCAGGAGAACGCAGGCTGGGCTCTGTCTGTCCTGGTTGGTTTTAGCTGTCCCTGAGAGCTCTCCAGCAGCACCAGGACAGTTCCCCTGCTGCAGTGGTAAGAAGGGCTCAGGGTGCTGTCCCTGGGCATCAGGTGGTGCTTGTGGGCAGGGCAGGGCTGGCATTTTTCACCACGTGTGTATGGCCAGCACCCAGCCTGAGGGCAGCCTGAGCCCCTGCCCTGTGCTGCCCTGACCCCTCTGTCCCCAGAGGCTCTGGGACAGTGCCACCAAGGCCATGAGCACCGGGGCAGTGCCACCAAGGCCACGAGCACCAGGTCAGTGCCACCAAGGCCATGAGCACAGGGACAGGCAGGGTTTGCCAGGGCTGCCAGCCTGGCACTGCGCATCAGCTTCTGCGCACGCTGTTATTGCTGATGGCCAGGATGGGAAATGCAATTGAGACCTTAATGAAAAGCTAACAAAGTTGGGTTTGCAGGGAGGGCTGCTCTTCAGGTAGCCTTGCTTCCCCTTGCAGCATGTTGGAAATTATTTTTCTGGGAATATTCCTACACTATGCCACAGTGTGCTGACTGTGAGCTGAGACTGTAGGCAAATGCAGAGCAAGAGAGTCTCTGGGGACCAAGCTGTTTATTTTGGATTGTACAAATAAAGAAATGCTGATGATTTAATAGCAGGTGCTTCTCAGGGATATTTTGAGTGTCAGGCTCTGGCTGCATGTGTGTAACTAGCATGTTCCAGCCAAGCATTTTCTAGCCCTTCATAATTCCTGAGCCTCACTGTGAATTGGTTTAAAAAGGAAAGCTGGTCATGATGTCTGAGCCTTGCTTGGTGACTATACCACAAAATGCTGGAGGAAGTACAGCAGAGCTGGGGGATGCTCCTGCTGCCCAAAGGATGCACATTGGCATGGCTGGTGGATGTCTCTTCCAAAGCTCCAGCCATTTCTTATCCCTCTCCAAAAAGCTCCACATTTCTTACCTCCTGACATCTGAGGGAAAAATATTATTTGTACATGGAGTGCTGGTTGGGAATGCCAGAAATACGGATTGCTCAGATGCAAGCCTCTAGGCCTTTTTTCCTCCTGTTTAAAGTAGTATGGGACTTGATTTCAGACAAACAAACAAACAAACAAAATAAACAAACCAAAACAAAACCCAACTTACATTAGAGTGTTTGAAAGGGGAAACACATGGTAAATAAAGTTCAAATTACTTATTAATTTGATTTCGTGGGTGTCTTTTTTTTTTTTTCTGAATGAGACTTCCAGTACCCAAATCCTTTTAAGGCTGGAGAGTTGGTCCAAAGTGTGATGGGACTCTCCTATTCTTCATGACCTAAATCAGTGACCCAAAGCATAATATTTTTTCTAGAACCATCTGTTTTCTCTTCTTGCCAAGGGGATTTCACAATGCCTGATTGCTCTGAATAATTGTACATGTGCAGGGATATGACTTGCCACAGGGAGAAAAATTAACTGAACAAGGACAGGTGGATGTTCTTGAGTTTTCTGAGAAAGTACTACCCTTTAGAAGGAGAGGGTGAAGAACCATGAAACTGAGTAATATTTTATGCCCACTATGAATTTTTTTAAGCCTACATATTTTAAAAGGAAACAAAACTACACTTAGGAGCTATCTGGGGTTAACAGAGTAGGTACCAAGTCAGGCTGTGTTTTGACAGCCCCTTTATCAAATATCTCCGTGACTTGGTTTGGAGCAGTGTCAAACACGGCAGTACAGATGTTGGGTGACTAATTCATGCTTCAGCTAAATTTCAGTGACCATGAATGCACACCTGTTTCAGCTTAGCCATCCACTGAAGGGTGTGCAACAAGGTGCTCCTCTTTGCAAACACCATGCTTGCATTTTTTTCACTGTGGGCTTGTAAGCAGTGGCTAGAGCTCCCATTTGGGGAAGTAGGAGGTATCCAGGCACTACGATCAGGGGGGCAATGAGTCTGGTAGTAAGAGCTTTTTTGTAGCATTAGCAGGATTCCTAATGCAAACAACTTTATTTTAAATCTGGCCTCCTACAAGAGACTTGCTTTTTCTTGTTCCATTCATCTGTTCTTATCACCCAGCTCTCTGATTTGCTCACTTCCTCCACTATGTATCTTTTTATTTTCTTAATGGCAATACCAGGGAGGAGGGGGTTGGAGGCAGACCAAGAGTTCCTGGTGAGAAAATGCCGTTTATATGAAACTGTCTTGATAAATTCTCAGTATTAGCCTCCCAGACCAATAACAGTGCAACAGCATCCATAAATAAAAGCAAATGGAGGAGAGAGCTTTGATCCACCATTACAGTGTCTCTTTGTGGAGCAGATCCCATAACACAGTGTGGGACGGTACCCATTGATTCCTCTAGCCAGTTGTTCCTTTGCACACAGCTCTGTCCCTGCATGATGTGCCCCTGCCCTAACGAGGAGTTAAAATATTTCATGGCTGAGCTTTGTTGATTTTTTCTTTCAGGGGTATGGGGTTTTTCTGAGGAAAATCAGCTCAGCTTTTTGTATTTCCCAGTGAAGTCGAGGTATTGATGTGCTCATTTTCCTCTCTTCATAGAAACATTTTTAAGTACCATCTGATTAAATTAACTTGGATTGGAGAAGCGTGGTATAGCAAAGGCTCTCCTTGAGGAGAAAATACAGCTTTAATAACTAGGGATCTAGCTTTATTGGCTAGTAAATTTGAGACTGTAACATTGAGCATGCCCAGGCTTTTTTTTTTTCACTGAGCATCTCTTTGTACTTAAAGGCATCTGTTCTGTCGGTTTATGCACTGTTAACTAACTGCAAACCTCTTTAACAGCTCCTCTACATTGCTGGAAAATCCTGAGGCAGGACAAGGGCAAGAACGGCTGTCATGCCTGATGAGTGATGTTGTAAATGGAGTGAGAAAGGCCCTTGAAGGGGAAGCCGTCAAAGCTGACCTAGTGGGAAAAGAGCATAGGGACATGTTTCCTCTAGAAGCATGCCAAGAGAGCCAGGCTTCCATGCATATGCGGCTCTTTCCAGTTTTGGGAAGGTGCAAAGTGATGCACTGTGGAAGGAATGGCTCCAAAATCATTAATTACAGGCTGCCCTTCTGGTGCACCTTATGACCAAGTTACTGCTAAGAGTAAGGTTTTGCCAGGGCTCAAGCTCACTTTGTGCAGATTTCCAATGTGGAGTAGATGCTTGGGAGGACTGTGAGCAACAAAAGACTGTGAAATACATAGCTTACAGTGACTAAAAAAGTACAAAAATATTTTTTAGGCATGATGAGGGGATAGTAGATTTTCCTGTCCTCTCCTGCTCTTACCCTGAATTCCAGTGAAGTGAGTGATTGCACTGTAATTTTGAAATGGGAAACACTTCTGCCAGCTGTGAAGCAGAACGATGGGCTTTAATTAGATTAGAGGGACAAGAAAATGCAATTGAACAAATAGGTTTTCAACAAAGAGAAAGAAACACCATGGTAGCTAAAGGGAGTAGGTGCTAGCTGGCTGGTACCATCTGAATCCATCCTGGTTCAGATGACTGAACTAGAGGATTTCTACAGGGAAAACATCACTAATCATAACAAAATGGGCTCATCAGCTGCATCTTCTTGAGTAACAGGGTAACCTGATCATATCTTCAGAGAGGAAAATCTGTTATCTCTGGTTGGCCTCACTTAATCTTTGCTTTTTGCCTCTTCAGGTTGAGGATGTTCGGGACCCGTCTGGTAGAAGCGGCCATGTCGCGAGTAACTACCGCGCACGCCTCCCCAGGGAGGAGCTTCCCTCTGCTGAGCCTTGTCCTGGTGCTGCTCCTCCATGCAGGGGCCACGCGTGCAGAGAGCCCCAGTGAACTGCCCGCCAACGACACCGAGGAGTGCGCTGGCTCCTACATCTGCAAGAAGGGAGTGATTTTACCAATATGGGAACCCCAGGACCCCTCGTTTGGGGACAAAATCGCTCGGGCGACGGTGTACTTTGTAGCCATGGTGTACATGTTCCTGGGAGTGTCCATCATAGCCGACCGCTTCATGTCCTCCATCGAAGTCATTACGTCCCAAGAGCGGGAAATAACCATCAAGAAGCCCAACGGCGAGACCAGCAAAACCACCGTGAGGATCTGGAACGAGACTGTTTCCAACCTCACACTCATGGCCTTGGGCTCGTCTGCTCCTGAGATCCTCCTGTCTGTCATCGAGGTGTGCGGCCATGGCTTCACAGCGGGGGACCTGGGGCCGAGCACGATCGTGGGGAGTGCTGCCTTCAACATGTTTGTCATCATTGCAATCTGTGTGTACGTGGTGCCAGATGGAGAGATAAGGAAGATCAAGCACTTGCGAGTGTTTTTTGTTACAGCGGCCTGGAGCATCTTTGCCTACACTTGGCTTTACATTATTTTATCTGTGTCTTCTCCTGGGATTGTGGAGGTTTGGGAAGGCTTGCTCACCTTCTTCTTCTTCCCCATCTGCGTGGTGTTTGCCTGGATAGCTGACAGGAGGCTTTTATTTTACAAGTACGTCTACAAGAAATACCGAGCCGGCAAGCAGAGAGGCATGATCATTGAGCACGAGGGTGACCGGCCCTCCTCCAAGGCCGACATCGAGATGGACGGAAAGGTTGCTAATTCTCACGTGGAGAACTTTTTGGATGGGACACTGGTGTTGGAGGTGGACGAGAAAGACCAGGATGACGAGGAAGCCAGGAGGGAAATGGCTCGGATCCTGAAGGAGCTGAAACAAAAGCACCCAGACAAGGAAATTGAGCAGCTCATAGAGCTGGCCAACTACCAGGTCCTGAGCCAGCAGCAGAAGAGCAGGGCCTTCTACCGCATCCAGGCCACACGGCTCATGACCGGCGCCGGCAACATCCTGAAGAGACACGCCGCAGACCAGGCCCGCAAGGCTGTCAGCATGCACGAGGTCAACAGCGAGGTGACTGAAAACGATCCCGTCAGCAAGCTCTACTTCGAGCAGGGCACCTACCAGTGCCTGGAGAACTGTGGCACCGTGGCCCTGACCATCGTCCGCCGGGGAGGAGACCTGACCAACACAGTGTACGTCGACTTCCGGACAGAGGACGGCACGGCCAACGCCGGCTCTGACTACGAGTTCACTGAGGGGACGGTGGTCTTCAAGCCCGGAGAGACCCAGAAGGAAATCCGCGTTGGCATCATCGACGACGACATATTTGAGGAGGATGAGAACTTCCTGGTCCACCTCAGCAACGTCCGTGTGAGCACGGAGGCCTCAGATGAGGGCGTTCTTGAGGCCAGCCGTGTCTCAACACTCGCCTGCTTGGGATCGCCGTCTACTGCCACCGTCACCATTTTTGACGATGACCATGCCGGCATCTTCACCTTCGAGGAGCCAGTAACACACATCAGTGAAAGCGTAGGAACCATGGAAGTGAAAGTGTTGCGAACCTCTGGAGCACGAGGAAATGTTATTGTGCCCTACAAAACCATTGAAGGCACGGCCAAAGGTGGAGGAGAGGACTTTGAAGACACCTGCGGGGAGCTGGAGTTCCAGAACGATGAGATAGTGTAAGTCAAGGTTTTATTTGTTTCTTACAGTTTCTGTTTCTCCTGAAATGAAATACACTTTGCTCCCAGAGCTGCACTGGAGGTGTTTGGGTGCCAGTGCATTGCAATAAGCCATGAATGGCCTCAGGTGCTGTGGGGAGCCTGAAACACTGCTGTGTCCCTGCCTTGCCAGCAGACTGGAGAGTGATGCCTGGTCAGGGGCACTGCAGCCTTCCTTCCAGCAGCAGGGAGGTGGAGCTGATCTGGGAGCTGTACCCATGCCCTGAACAGATCTCTACAGCCTGCAGATCTGCTGCAGCTTCTACTGCTCTGCAGCAGAGCAGAGAACAAACCTGAGGTGGCTGTGACCACCCAGGCATGAGGGCCTGAACTGCAGAGGCCTTGAACTGAGTGTGTGAATTGCGGTACCTGCTTCCTGTTTCCTGTTGAGGCTCAGATCCTCCAGTACTGGGTCACAGCTGTCCTACTGATGCTCTGCTCAGGGCTTTGGTGAAGGTTGCTTCACCTCTTTCTGTTCTAAAGGGTGCAGGCCTGGGTCACTGTCCAATACAGGTCTTGGAAAAGTGCTTGTCATGCAGGGAAACCTCATGGTTAGGATGGAACCGCAACCATATTCGACTCCTTACGAGTAAAAAAAGGAGGCTGAAAGCTGTTGTAGGCTACTCCTGAGTGGTGCTATTTGGATGGTGGGGAAATTATTAGGGCTATAGCCTTATTACATTATGTGGAGAACATAAATTTGCTCAGTAAATCATGGTAGAAAACACCTATCCTTGGGTATGTCATGAAGACATTTCCTTGTCCAGCTGGTGCTCTGGGAGGAGTAAGAGTTGGGAGCTCTGTTTTTCCAGCCTGAGGCTCATCCTACAGTGAATTCTGTGTTTGCAGCCAACAGGGACTAAGGTCTGTAGCACAAAAACACTGCCTAGAACCGAAAGAAGTAACTGGTAAAGGGCACTGCTGTGTAAAGGGAGAGCGAAATTTTGGCTTGGGTGTTATTTATTGTGCTGCTGGTTTCCCAGGAGCTGAAACAAACCATGGTGAGTGCCCAGAGTGGTCCTTGTGTTCTGTCTGTCACCTGTATCTGCTGCGTCTGCACAGGGAGAATGAAACTTCTTCATAAAACTTGTTGAAGTAGATGGCAGGGGGGGAAAATGGTGATTTGTAGTTCCCAGGCAGGATTTATACCAGTTGGGATTTTGACTTCTCAGGAAAAACTGAGCAAAAAGTTCTCAGCTCTATGATGTTGTAGCTCTGGAGGCTACAACAGACATGCTGCTCACACAAGGGTCAAGAGCACGTGGCTCCTGACTGCTGAGTGATAAATGCAATAGAGAGGAATGCAGTTATTTGAGGGTTTTTTTTTATCATTTTGGGAGAAGCAGGGAGTTGTCTGCAGAGATGCAGTGAACTAGGCTATAAGGATATCTCCCAAAGGCTCTTTGCTTTTTATCCAGGTCGCTCAGTGCTACCAGAACTGGGCTAGTGGCAGTTAGCCTTTGCTGCTTGTTCCCAGCTCCCATGGGATGTGACATGTTTACATGGCAGGCCAAACACAGCCACAGGCTCTGCAACAGCGCTCAGAGGGGCTTGGAATATGCCTTGCCATGGATCCAGCACTGTGGCCAGGATCTCTGTGCTGTCCTTCATCCAAAACTGTGTCTGTGCTGCCCCTTGGTGCTTGGGCTGTGATGAGGTGAGGTGTTCTCCCCAGCACTGCTGTGCCTGGTGTGTCCTTCCCTCCTCTGAGCTGCTCACTGATGGCTTTTGCTAACAGCCCAGAAAGCAAGGGGTGTGCTGGAAGCCAGCTGACCACATCCTGTGGGATCTGTGCTGGTGTGCCCTCCCCAGGGCTGCAAGCCTCCTCCTTCCTCTTCTTACCAGCTGCCAGAATGTGCACAGCCAGCAAGAAACAGGGGAAAGGAGCTTTCTCAGAAACCCAAGCCTGCCATTGTATCTCTATTGTCTTTAAACTATCCATCCCAGGAATCACAGTGAGTGATGGTACCTCAGAAGTGTAAGGAGGTGGCGACTGCAGGGACAGATGTTGACCAAGGGGCTCTCTCCATTCAGGTGGGAGAGGACATTGACAGAATGAAAGCAATGGTACACATTCCAATCTATCCATGGGCTGAAAGGCAGTATTAATGTAAAGCTCAGCTATTAATCTAAAGCTCAGCTGCCACAGTCCATGCTCAGGTGCTGGGTGGTACAATTTGACTGGCAGATTTCCTGCCAGGTCCATGCTTTGCCTGGACATGAGTTTAGGACGACACAGAGGCAGAGGGTTCCTGATGCTGAGCTGCTGCTTACAGGCATGCTCCCCTGGAAGAATTTGCTCCAATAAATATATACTAGCACAATATGTGGATTATGGAGCTAAAGACTTTTTGCTCTGTCATTGCTTGATAGTGCTGTACTTCAGTTAAGCCACGGTTATGTGGAATGGTGCAATTCCCTAGCATACTAGATTCAATACAGTTCTAAAATTCCGGGTTTTCTCATGCTCTGATGGCCAAGAGATGTCTTTGCTGCCCTTTCTAAAGGTCTTTAGTGCCTCTTCAGTTCTGCCATTCAAGTCTGAATGAATCAGCTTGATAAAAGTGAGTAAGATGTGTTTTTCTGGGGCAGTAATAACAAAGGTAGGGCAGTACAGGGAGACATGAAGATGAAAGAAAAGCATGCACAAGCCTCTATTATTAGAGGGCTGGCTTGCTGGTAAGTCCCAGTAAAATTAGAAAGCGCTGGGAGGGCCCTGATCTTCTGGAGACCTTCCTCTGGTTCCCAAAAGGCCTAATTACGTAACATGTTGTTTGTTTGCAGTGTCCAGAGAGACTTTCCCATTTTGCAATCTGTTGATGTCCCCCCTTCCCAGAATACACAAAATAGCAGTTTAACTGCTGAAGCCATGCTGCTCCTGTGCATTTAATCAAATATCTCATTCTGATGCTACCAAAAAAAGATGCATAGTGGAGAAGATGTTGGTCCTCCTGTGGAACATTTAACCCATCACTGTCTCTTGGAGTGGTGCTTTTCTGCTCCTCATTCCTGGAGCACAGCTTGTGTGTTCAATGGATGCATGTTAGGTGAAATAAGCAGCTTTTAGATGGGGTTTGCATGGCACGTTGCTCCAAGCTTCGTGGGGAAACGTGTCTGGCTGGGGTCTCAGCAAGGTCACTCTCAGTGATGCTGCACAGGTACTGGGGCTCTGAGATATCAGTGTGGGTGCTGTGATTTAAAGTGTAAGAGAGCCTTCCCTCTGAGCCCAGCCTCAACAAGATGGTTCTAGCCTTGTCTTGCATCTCCATCAATGATGGAAGCTTTCTGCAGGAGAACATGGAGAAGATGTGCACTTGTAGCCCTTCCTGTCCCCCAGCTACTACAGCTATTGTGATCATAGAAGAGGTCACTGGTTCATCCAGGCAGTGTATTTTTATCTGCTGACTGAATGCTAAATAATTCAAAAGAAGTCCAGCTTCCTATATTAGAGGAGAAGCAAGCTTTCCCTCAGCTGATATCACATCAGCTCTTCTCCTTTCTGTCTCGTCATCAGGAGGAGCACTTCTTCCAGATGTGACTGCAAAGCCCTTTGAAAACAGCGTGTTCTTTCATGTTCAAAAAGCACAGCTTTTCTAGGGATAACATTGCAACTAGAGATCTGTTACAATCTGCACTCCAGATGTCTGCACACACACCCCAAAAGAAAAGATTTTACTGCATTAATATCAGCGAGGAAGATGGTACATATGGACAACCAATTGAACTCATATTTCACCTATGCAGTCACACCTGTAAATGCTTGGAAAATCTTATGTCAAATGGTCTTGCTGTTCATAATATGCAGTATAGTTGTTTCCATAAAACATGCCTGCTGCAGATTTAGGAAATGACACTCTTTGCCCACTGAATTTTACTTGTCCAAGTCAGTTTTGGCATTTCTCTGGAAGCATAAATTTAGGAGCTGAATACTAAAAGAGACACAAACCATCAGCTACATTCTCTGATGGTTTTTTTTTTTTTGGGAAAGTGTCCTCAGAAACCACATAGGCTCCTTCCCAAGAGCCCTTTAAAAATGTCAATGTCACTAAATAGAGATGGTGGCAGGAGGGGAACCAAGTGGTACTGTTTTTTTAAGTGCCCCTTTTATTTTCTTCCCCAAAAAGAAGTTGGGTCAGGTATTTCTAAAGAAACAGCAAAAATAATATCCTGACTCAGCCCTGGAACCCCGCTATATCAGTTTTTCATCTGTAGCCTGCAGCTTCAGAGGAAAAAAGTAAAGCCTCCAGGATGAGCAGTCTTGCAATTGGATGCAGTTGAAGAGCAGGATCTCTTCTGATGTGGCAGAGAGAATGCTGTAAACCAGGCTGGAAGGGAAGCAAAGAAACATTCAATTTTTCAGGTTTCACTGCTGAGCACATTCTCTTCCTCTCTGTGGTCCCACTCTGTTCCTCTGGGCCAGTGTGCACCCCCTGACTCCACAGCCCCAGCCTGCACAGGGTTAATGTCTGGCAGCACACTGTGAGGTATCAAAGGAGACCAAACAAAGATTAAACTCTTGCTTGGCCTCCTTCCAGGGCCCAGCATGGGCTTTGCAGAGTATTCTCCCCTCACCACTGGAAGTCTTGCCTGGCCTAGTGGGGATTTGCAGGCTGTATAGATATGGCCAGATGGATCTAGGCCTTGGATCCTTGGTCCAGGGGGATTTGTAGGCAGTACAGATATGGCCAGCTGGATCTAGGCCTTGGATCCTTGGTCCAGTGGGATTTGCAGGCGGTACAGATATGGCCAGCTGGATCTAGGGCTTGGATCCTTGGTCCAGGGGGATTTGTAGGCAGTACAGATATGGCCAGCTTGGATCCTTGGCAGAAGCACCCACTATTCCTGGCCCATCCAGTACATATCTCTCTTATGGCAGCTGGCCCTGGCCAAGGCCCACAGTAGGAGTCTGAGCAGGTTTGTTGCACCATGCTGGGGCATGGATGGGGCCTGCTTCCCTTTTG